ACACAGTACACAAGTAGTGAAGAGAATAACTAATGAGTACTGAGAACTACGTACCAGGCATTTTGCTACATGCTTTCCATATATAAAACCATTTAATCCCTGTGAATTTCGGGTTTTTCTTGTCTTTGTTGGTGTTATTGTTGTTGCTGCTGCTGTGACTAAAATACATGACAAGAACAACGTAGAGGAGGAAAAGTTTATTTTGGCTCAGGATTTCAGAGGTTCAGCCCATGGTGAGCTGACTCCATTGCTTTGGGTCCCAGGTGAGGTAGAACATCATGGAGGAAGGACCCGACTGAGGTGTGATGCTCTGCTCCGGGCAGCAAGGAAACAGAGGGGGTGGGTGGGGAGGAGACAGGGTGACAAAACATCACCCCCAGGGGCAAACTTTCAGTGAATTGTCTCCTCTAGCCACACCCCACTTCCTAAGGTTACCTCTTAGTAGATTATCCATTCAAATCATTAATCCATCAAGTGGATTAATCCACCGATTAGGTTACAGCTATCATAATCTAATAATTTCACCCCTGAACATCCCCACAACACAGGAGTTTTGGGGGGACAACTCATATCTAAACCATAACAATCTCTTTGAGGCCAGGAGCTACTGTCACCCCCTTTTACAAATGAGGAACAAGATCTGAGCTGGGCAGCTTGGGTGGGGGGGGCGTTGCTGAGGCAGGAAGATTGAGAATTCAAAGGCAGACTCGTAATTTAGCGACCCAGTGAGACCTTGTCCCTAAATAAAATACAGACAGAGCTGGGGATGTGGCTCAGTGTTTAAGTGCCCCTAGGTTCAATCCCCAGTACCCACCCCCCTAAAAAAAAGTACATATCTGGGACACAAACCCAGGTATTCTCCTTCAGACCCATTGTCCTCTGTTGGTCAAGAAAAGAATGAGCAGAGCTGTGGGGTTCTGTGGAGAAAGGAGAACCTTAGCTGAATAGAATCTTATTTTCCCCTCTGGATAAACCAGTCATCAGCACTCCACCAGGGTAAATCCAGGCCCTTCTCTGACACTAGATGGCACATCTCAAGTTCTGAGCACCCACGTCCGGGAAAGCCTTTAGGGGCTACCCATGCACCACTTTGGTCTTGAGATGTAATAGTCTTCTTTCTCTATTTCTAAAGCCCCGTGGTATCCTGTAGAAGCTCTTCCTAGTCTTTGGCTCTGGGGATTCTCCCCTGGAGGAGGGTAAGCAGCAGGAAGGAGGCTGGCGATGAGGACTGATGAGTGGCTCACTTTAGCTCTGCCTTGGCTGTTCTGTGGTGGGCAGGGGGAGGATCTGCTGCTCTTCACTTGGCATTTTCAGAGTGCATTAAGGGCAATTAACATAATTAACACTGGTTGCTTGTGAGCACAGAGCTAGTGCCTGGCTACCTTTAGACAAAATTTCTTGCCCCCGACTTGACTTTGGGTGACGTAAGACAACTTGGCTAACACCCTTTTTTTCCTTCCAAATATAACTTTAGGTTGTTTTGGTTTATAGATAAACCTTTTGATGAAAGCATCCATGGGTCTAGAGATTTGAAACTGATGGTACCATTTGTCCCTCTCTTAGTCAAAAAGCAAATTTTGTGTTGGGACTTAAACCCTATTTTCTAAAATTAGGAAACCTTAAAGGAAGTCTGGATTTCTCAATTTTCTCGAAAAGTAGGGAAATCAGGCACCAGGGACTTTTCCTCCCAGCAGCGGTGCTGGTCTGGAGCCGGCAGCCTTCCTCGAGCTGTGCTCTCAGTCCACAGGACCCCACTGCTTCCTGTCACTGTGCCTCAGCCTGGATTCTGCAGGCTTCTGGGTTTGACTCTAGTGCAGAAGATCAAGAAGTCTTCTTCAATGTCTAAAAGATCCACTTGATTCCAGGCCAATTCAGGAGAGGTTTCAAAATTCAAATGTAAAATGTTCCAAAGCAAACTGCTCATGTTCAGCTGGGGCCCCAGACAGATTTGCTGACTGGGGACTTGTGTGCCCTCCTCTCCTTTGATGTCTCTCCTTCCCTTAGGATTCTTTCCAATTTGATTCTCTGCTTGCTGATGATTCCTGAAGGGGCCAGCATCATGCCCCTGTTTATCCCTCCTTCCCCGAATTGCTTCTATGTCTGGAGGGCAGAGGCATTCTTTTAATTGGACTTTTCTCTCCCTATCCAGCAGTTAGCACTGTTCTTTGCATCTTGTCAATGCTCCATAAACGTGGAAATTAGAAAGAATGCTACAGTGCGAACCAACCAGAACATATCTGCTGGGGTCATGGGAACCAAGGATTTGAAAGACCATTCAGAAGGATTCAAGGCTTCTAGGAGGAGAGTAGAAAGGAAATAATTAAGAACTGAGAAAGGTTTATTGAGTGCAGGGGTTCAAGAATGGAGCCTCAGGCAGAGGCCCCAGGAAGCATAGTCTTGGAGAACGGTTTGGGCAGCTTTGAGGGTCAGAGAGCTCCCGAGTAGATTGAACTGGGCCTTCTAGAAGATTCTTTGAATCCTATCTTTCTCCATATTTAATTCTTCAGAGAATTTCATTGGATTGACTTTGGAAATGCTTCCAGACTCTACCCACGTTTCATCACTAGCACCTCCAGTGCTCTTGACCAAGTCATGATTGCCTCTCACCTGTGTGCCTGCCAGAGGCTGGGACTCAGCATCCCTCCTCCACACCCACTCCTGACTCTCCACTCTTGTCCAGCAGCCGGGATGAACCAAAACTCTCCTTAGACTTTAAGGCCCTACATGATTTGGCCTCTGTGGTCACAACTCCTCTTGTTTTTCATGCTATTTCAGACCTAGTAGCATAACTATTATTTTCAGAATACTTGCATTTGCTGTTTGCTAAACTTGGGATACCCTTCCTTCAGAAATTTCCAAGGCTTCCTCTTCCTTCTAATCAGGGCTTTGCTCAAATGTCACCCTTTCTGAGAGGTCTTCCCAGAACACCCACCTGAAGCAGAATCTCTCTCCTTATCCCCCTCTCCCCCCCCCCCACTATTCTCTTACTTGACTTTTCTTTAGGACATATGTCGAATTGTGTTATACATTTGTTTCATTGTCTGTTTCACACTACAGTATAAACTGCATGAAGGCAGAGACTTTTCTTGATACACAGTAGATGCTCAATAAGTAAATAAAGGCGTCTAGCAAAAAACGAGAACAGAGAGATGCCAGAGTCACAGTTTTCTTGGGGAAAAGAGATAATATTAACACAAGAGGAGATTTTTAATACTTTACATATGTGGTAAATATTCAATTCAATTCAATTGAAGTGTTTATAATGCAATTACACACACAGATCAAATATCAAGAGTTATTTGGGATAAATGATAATTAAAGGGCAGATCCTGCCTGCAAGGAATTTACAGCCAAGGGAGAGAAGAGAGAACATAGGACTCTCCAGTTATCTTTGAATTCCCCATAGCATGGTCTTCATTGTCCTGCATACTGGGGGTATCACACTATTTTTTTTTGGTATAAATGAATTATCAGTATATCCTTCCATTAAATTCTTTTACTGTCATATAGTCTGGTAGGATGAAACTCACTTTACAAATCCATAACCGTTTTTGAGTTTTTAACTTCACCCACTACCCACCACTGATTACTTCTTTGGCACTGTCACCTGGCTGCTTCTTGGGCATTTCACATACAATATATCCAACCTTTTCCTCTGTCTCCTGATCTCCACTGAAGCTGGAATAGTTGTTTCTGCCCATTCCTCACATTCTCTTGCATGCTATGGGGCCTACCTCCTGGCACCAGGGGACCTACCGATTCCTCTTTTTCTGTTGCTGCTTCTGTGATCTTGGTCATCATCATGTTTTTCTAGATTTTCAGCAATGCCACCCCACCCCTGTGCCAACCTCTGGTAAAACTCCTTTTCCATCCACTCTCCAAGGTGAGGACAGATGGTCTTTCTAAAATTTTAATCTGATAACCACACTCCCTACTTAAGAACTCCAGGGTCTTCCTGATGGCCCCAGGCTAAGGGCCAGACCCCTTAACACATCATACAAAGCCCCCTAGCTTCTGGCATCTAAGAATTGGTTCTTCCAATTGTTTCTCACAGTCTAGTCTGGGCCCCACAGAGACTTCTGGTTCTCTAATGTGGCTACTCTCACCTTCCTCCTTTCTCTTCTTCTGGACCCTCCTTCTTCAGTTTCTACCTAGTTTTCCTATGACCAGTACTTGGCTCCTTATCCCCCATAATGGGTTGTGGGGGATGTGCTTCCTGGACACTGTTCTTGTCATGCCTGTTTTATTGCCTGTAGCCCCACTAGACGGCAAGCTCCAAGAGGAACCTTGTCCTGTTCTTCCGTAATGTTGAATGAATGAAAAAGCACTTGCTTGGATAAGGTGATCAGCCATCAAAGATTAATAGTTTATATTTACTGAGTGGCTATGATGTATGGGACACTGTTCTAAGTGCTTTCTAAGTATGACCTAGCCATCTCACATAACTAAATGGGTTTCTCTCCCCATATAACAGAGGGGGAAACTGAGGCACAGAGAGATTTTTTTTTTAGATGACCTGGTTAAGGTCCCCAATTAGGTAGTGGAGAAACCAGGCTGTTTTCGGAGTCCAGATGGCATCAGAGAGTGAAGCCACAGTATGGGGGTACCTTACATGAACAGATTCAAGTCCCCCAGGAAGGGCTTTGTTTTTGTTTCCCAGGGAGGGGACGCGCTCTGGTGCCGCCCTCTTCACGCCCCTGAGTCCTTCGCTGGGCTTTGGGAAGGGCCTGTGCATCTCGCCAGCGGGCAGGGGTCTGCGTGGGAACCGCTGATGAACTTTCGGGGCCGCTCGGTCCACTCGCAGCTCTCCCCAGGTCCTCCGGTGCCTCCCCCCACCACCTCGCGCCGGGCGAGTCCCCCAGGCCCCAGCCGCCCGCGGGTCTCCGGGCGGGGAAGGGGCGGGTCCGGGGCGGGGCCGCTCACCGAGGCCGCCGCCCTCGCCCGGCGCGGCCACTCCGGGTGCCGCGGGCCGGGCTGGAGCGGGAGGGCGGGGCCTCGGGAGGGGCCGGAGCGCGGCGGCTGGTGCGGTGGCAGGCGGAGAGGAGGAAGCGGCGCGTCCCCCGAGGCGTGCGCCGGCCGACCCACCGACAGACGACAGACAGACCGACGCGTGGAGGGAGAGGCCGGGCGGCCAGGTCAGGCTCCGGCGGGGTGGCGGGCGGCGCCGGGGCGGGGGCGGGGAGGGGGCGCCCGGAGCCGGGCGGAGGGAGGCGCGGAGGCTGGCGGCGCGCTCGGGGTCGGCCCGGGCCCGAGCCCCTTCCCCGGGCTGGCTGGCCGCGCAGGGAGCGCGCTTCGGCCGCGGAAAGTGGAGCCGCCGGCTCCCTTCTTCCCCGGTCTCTTTTCTTTCCCAATCAGCGAAAAATAACCCCCCGCCAAGGTACAACAATAGCGGGGCCACCTGGGACGGTCGGTCGGTCGGGGCGGGGGCCGGCGTGGAGCCCGGGAGCCGTGGTCCCTCCTCGGAGCCCCGGACCGATTTGCCCCGGTGGTGGGTGGGGCTACCCGCGGCGCCGGACTCGGTAGGAGGCGACGGGAAACCTCAGGAGTGAAGCCCGGGGTGAAAGTGTTTCAGGAACAGTCAATCGGGCTTTCTACCCTGGCTCTGTCTTGGGGAGGGAAACTGAGGCGGAGGGAAAGGTAGCGACAGGCCCAAGGTCAGAAATGCAAAGATGGGTCGTCCTCGACGAGGGACGGGACCCAGGTGTCCGGAGCAGCCCAGCGCTTGGCCCCTGTGGGTTTTGCAGCGGTTGCATTTGCTTTTAATGAATCTGTTCTGTTTGTTCTAGAGATCTGGTCTTGTGGGACCGCTTCGGGGCTTCCGGATGCCCTCTTGCTTCGTGTGCCCTGGGCAGGTGTGGGGCAGGTGACGGCTCCGTCACCACCATGGATGGAGAGGGACTTTTTGATGAGGAAATCCAAACTGTCGATACAAGCCAGGCTGATATGGCTGTCCAAGGTCTCCCTTTTGGGGAATCCGAATGAGGGAGATCACAGACACCTTCACTGCGAAGCCAAGGACATTCCTGTATAATCAGTGGATGAAAGGATTTTCTCAGACTCTCCTTCTCGCTTTTTATTGAGGATTAATCCACCACCATCTACGGTTCCAGTGGAAATGACGTGGCACACAATGTGGCAGAAGCCTAGAGCTCCCTCCGTATTGCTCTGGACCCTTCCTTTAGCATAAGGGAGTTTTCACACTTGCCACTCCCCCCACCCCTCACCCCCCAGCGCCCTTCTTCTGATTGCCATCCTCAACCGGCGGTCATTCTCCGAGTTAAGTTCTATTTCCAAAACTGTTCTCTGGAGCTATAAGTGGATTGCCAGAAATGAGAGATTAGGTGCTGGGAGAAGAGGAAGCGCCCTGTGTTGTGACCTCTCACTGCTGCGGCTGCCGACATGAAGTGCTTTCTCCCGGTGCTGAGCTGTCTGGCTATGCTGGGTAAGTGGCTGTGCTTATCAGTGCAATCGATGTGAAAGTTTAACCTGCTCTTGATTCCTGTAATTCCTGTGTTTCTTTCCCATCCACTCTCGACTTCAGGCTACACCAGGAAGGAGTTGGTGTGTCACAGATTGAAGGAGAGACCTAGAGGCCCATTTCTGATCCTGGAGGAGTGGTGGCATATTGTGTTTGTGTTTAAGCAGGAACATTTTTGCTGATCTTCAAGTGTCTGTCCTGGGCCTTGGGGTGAGGTCTCTCATCTGCACATCCATGGTGTAGGGCTGCATGTGGATTGTGACTAGCTTCCTGGAGTAGGACGGTCATGGATGCTGCGGTGTGTTTTCACGTTTGTGTTGGTCTGCATTCGTTCCTAATTGGAAGTGGCAATGTAATTTCTACTCTGTCGGGAAAGTCTATTTGGTGATAATGATTTTTTTTATTTTTTTTTTGGAGGGGAAGTGAGTGGGATGGGGTTGAAAGGATGTTTTTCCTACCTAAGTGGTCTGTAGGCTAAGTGTTTGAGGATGTTAGTCCTGTGTCTCCTCACCAAGGAATCTCAGCATGGGCTCCGAAGAAGAGGAGAGATTGGAGAAGTGGAAACTGCCTGGTAAGGGGTGTGCTAGGTTTAGTTTTTGTTCCCTCAGAGAAGGTCTGAATGTTTCGAGTGGGAGGAATACACTGTGGTCCCAAGTGGTGAGCCTCTGATCCACCCCCAGGGAGAGCACACCCCCACCAACACTTGTTCATGCTTTTCATGCTACCCTGCAAGACTTAAGTTTGGTGTCTTACAACGTATGTTGGGTTTAGAGTGAACTCACTAGCCAGGAGCTGGTGCATTCTCTCCCTATCTCCTCAAACCTCAACCTTGGACACACCCCTTGCCCTTTATGTATGGTTCTCTTCTCTGCATTTAAAGGGTATCTATCACTGCTGCCTGTGGTGTTTGCCTTTCTAAATCTAGGTATTTTGCACTTACGTAATTTATTCGCAATCTTTTGGCACTGGAATTTGCTTTCCTGCATTGCCCACACCTTTCTGAGAGTTAACAGGTGTGTGGAAGGAGAATGGACTTTGGAATTAGAGCACCTCAGCTCCAGGCACAGTCTCACCGTGATTGACATCTGAGTCTCAATAAAACATCCTAGGGCTGCCGTGGCAAGTCAAGAACATGAGATAGTCTAAACATCTTGACTGCCTTGAGTAGTCTGAAAACTCCTAACGATAAACATGTTCCATCGGTGACTCTCAAAGTTGGGTCCATGTTGATATCATTGAGGGAACTTTAAAAAAATCTTGAGGCAACCGCTCCAGACCCTGGAAGCAGATTCTGTGGGTTGGGGGCCAGGCATTAGTCTTTGGGCTCTCCCAGCTAGTCCCACGCGTGGCTCAGTGAGGGAGCCAGTGTGCGAGTTCAGTAGAGCCAGCCCGACTGCTCGGTGCACACGCGTATCCCAGCCTGGCAGCTCATGCAGTCCTTGGCTGCCCATCTGTGAGTCAGGATGCCGTCTCTGCGCCTCCTCTCTGCAAGGAGAGGCAAGGAGGCAGGTAGCCCTCCATTTGCCAGCCTCTGAGTGCCGCGTTTGTGTGTGTTCTCCTGTATGTGTCATTCACTTAGTATCTGGATCTGAATCAGCAGTTAGTGATTCATGTGGATTCGAAAGGACACAAACAAGGAAAGCCCTTTGAGAGTTCTTGGGTGTGGAGTGGGGTGTGTGGCTGGAGTGGGAAAGAGGACTAAGTGGAAGGGTGGGACCCCAGGGCAGGAGAAGGAACCACCAATGGGAACAAGGAAATGTGACATTTGTGCCTTTTGTTTCTTTTGGCTGCTCAAGAAAATGTAAGGCAGCCTGCTGCTCTCCCTGCTGTTCGCTCTCTGGGCCGCTGTGCAGTGGAGCTGGGTCCTTGGCACTGGGTGGGTGCAGTCATTTCCCCTCCACCCCCGCCCTCCTGTGCCAAGAGGTGCCGTGGAGGAAAATGAGCATCAAGGTTTTAACGGGGAACAATGACAGAAGGCCAGACGTGGGTGAGAGGGGGGGACGTTTGGAACTGTGGACACACTTGGTAATCTCTGCTTGATTTTGAGCCTTACCCGTGGCACCTGTCACTCCTTAATACCCGATAACCGTCGGCAAGGCAGGGGAGAAGGCCTGGCTCCGACTTCACCTGGGAGAAGGGGAAGGTGTTTGGGGAGGGAACACAAAGCCTTCTTGGGCTTTTATTTCCTGCTTGCAGTCTGGAGCAGTTTGATTCATGCGTCAGCATTCTTGCCGTGTAATGTGAATTAACACGTAACGTGAACTAATGTATGGTGTGAATTTAAAACAGCCAAGAATCCCAAGGTGCTGAGCCCATGTGGAATCAAATTTTGTTCGCAAAAAGTTGGGTAAGGCCGAGTGCTCTTCAGTGTGAGACGTATGGGTGCCAGTCTCCAGGAAACAGCAATTTGAGTTTAGGAATCCTGTGATCCTATGTGTAGGGGTACACAGGGTAAAATCTCCTGAGATGTTTGTGACTCTCGCTCGGCATCAGTAGCCCTGTGCTTTTCTGCTCTTTTCTTTTGCCAGTATCGAGGATTTGGGTCAGGCTCATCTTCTACTGCCTGTTGGGATACTGGTCCTGTTCATGTCTTTGTCCCATTGAAGCTACTTGGCTGAGGCTTGTCCTCTGAATGCTGTATCTTGTTGCCTGCCGTTGCAGCCCTGGGTGACCCACCTACCTTGGAATCATTGGCTGCTGCCACAATCCTTGTTTCAGTTCCAAAACCACCTTCAACCTGGGCAAGCCAGGGGGACAGTAACATCTCCACTACTGAAAGGAGGTGGAGCCAGAGGGGCAGAAGACGGGAGTGGTAGTAAGGGCTGGTTTGAGTACGAAGAAGAGGGAATGAGGAGGGAGGAAGAGGGTGATTGGTGCTCTATCAGTGCCTGGGAGCAGCCTACGTGGGTGACAGTGACAGGGAAAAATGACAACAGTGTGGGAGAAGAGAATAGGATTTGTATCTGCACGAACAGGAAGAGAATAATCAGGAGAGATGAATGTAAGCTTTAGACACAGAAATTTTGATTTTGCGTACCATGAAGAGTCCCACCTCCCAGACCAGTGCTGATGGAGTTGCAAACAAGTTGAAATGACTTTGAAAGTGTTAGCCACGACAAATGAAGGGGATGGGCTGTCTTTGGATCAACACAGGAGAACCTGTAGATGACGAGTGATCACTTACATTTTCCTCCAGGAGAAACAAGTTCTTCTGCAGAGTTTGGGAAGCCTCTTGTTTCAAAAGGATGGGAGTAAGAGATCACTTACTTCCCAGTTAGTTAGGGGGAAGGCCAGAGGGTGCTTCCAAAACAGACTGAAAGAAACTTTGATCTACTGATGGGTCTGGGCTGAGAGGCAGGACTGTGGAGATCAAAATAGAAGAGGAGGAGGAGGCAGAGGAGAGAAGGGAGGTAGTTTGGGCATTCAAGGAGAGGTTCTCAAGGAAGGGATGAGGATGGTGATTTGTGGGCAAACAAACACCACTGTCCTAACACTGTCCCGGAGGTAGTACACTTTGCCTTTCTAAGGATCATCTGATGAAATGCCAAAGAAGGGAATTCTTGTCAGGAGGACTCAACTGGCTAGGGTGCTTTTTGTGTTAGTCAGCTTTCTGTTACTAGAACCGAATACCTGCCACAATTAACTTATAGAAGAAAGGTTTACTTGGCTTACAGTTTTTGAGGTTCTACTCCGTGACTGATTGGCCATGTTGCTTTTGAGCTTGTGACAAGACAGCACATCATGGCAGAAGGGTGAGGTAGAAAAAAAAAAAATACATGCACTTCAGTTCCAGAAAATGGAGGAAGAGGAAGGGGACTGGTTCCACTATCTCTTCTTTCCTTCTAGTTCCACCTCTTAAAAGTTCCGTCACCTCTCAATACCACCACCTGGAGACAAAGCCTATAACACATGGGTTTTGGAAGACATCTAAGATCCAAACTGTAGCATCTTTTCGGCTGTGAGCATCATGGAATCACCTGTAGGCACTCAGGACTGTTAAGATGCTCCATTTTTCATTGCAGCAAGATGACTGTTGCAGCAATGCTGCTAACAGCAGTAAACCAGCTCTCTTCACTCTGGCCTATACTGTGAACCAAGCCCTCAAAACAACCCTGCAAGATAGATACCTTGTATTATCATTTTTTTTTTTCATAGGTGGGCATATTGAAGTCCAGGGGGATTCAGTTACTTGCCTAAGATGTATTACTGATCAGGTTGATGTAGGGCTTCATAGTGTTAGGGACCCAGACTCTTCTGACTCGCCCCCTGTGCATGCCCCCTACTCTCACGATCACCTCAGAGTCCAAGATGGCCATTCAAGCCCCAGCCATCAGGAATGAGGAAAGGGTTGGTGAAGGGCAAGTGCTGTTGAGTTAAGGACACTTCCTGGAAGTTCTGCACACCACTTTTGCTTATGTTCCTCTTGGCTAGAATCTGGTCATGTGGTCAGACTTAGCTGTAAGGGAGTGTGGAAAGTATTGTCCTAAGTGGGATCTGTCAAAAACTCGAGGACCTGTTGCTTTAAGGAAAGGAGAAAATAGATTTGGGGGTCAATTACTAATCTCTGCCACAGCCACAACCTTAGAAGTGATAGAGTGGAATTTTGAAGCCAGGACTGTTTGGTGTCAAATCCTTTGTTCTGTCATTTAACAAGCAGCCTCATCTTTGAGAACAAGGTCTGGCCTCAGCCTCTAAGAAACCCAGTGGGAGAAACATAAGCTCAGTTGACCACGAGTTGTTACCTAAAAGCAACATAAATAGGCATATATTAAACACTACCTGTGCAATGTTAGCAGTGAGTACTATAATGTTATGGGATGCTTGTGTGTTGGCCACTGTGCTGTTTTACATAGTATGGCTTTCTGTATGACAGCTCACGGACCATCTCTGTCATGTTTAGTTCATCACTGTAGCCTTAGAAACTTGGCCTTGGGGCTGGGATTGTGGCTTAGTGGTAGAGTGCT